CGTGTGACCTCTGACACAATTCAGACCCTTGGATGGGAACCTCTTTTGCACCCTCCTTATTTCCCTGACATTAGCCCTTCTGACTATCACCTATTTTTAAGCCTAGATAATCATCTGCGAAATTGACAGTTTAGAAATAGAGAGGTTATAGAAACGGAATTAGGGAAGTTTTTCAACTCTAAAAATCGTGACTTTTATAAAAATGGAATTTATAAGCTTGTTTCCCATTGGGAACAGGTTATTGAATGTGAGGGTGGTTATTTTGATGAATAAATTGTGTTATTTCCTATACATTTTTATGTTTGTTTTCTTTCAACAAAAAACGACAGAACTTGTTTGGTTACCTGATATATGCTAAAGATAGGCAACTAATAATATGTAACTTACTTTCATCTTTTTGCTGGTCAATTAATATTTGAAAGTTCATCACAAATATCAGTTTAATTAAGATTGCATAATGGCACAAAGCAGAAAATGAGAAAATAAAATTGTTGCCAAATCCCTTATGGTTGCCCCAAGAACTGCAGTTTGCTCATAACTGATCTACAAAATTACAACTTCATCTGTATAAACTAAATACAGAAATTAGTTCATATAATCTAATTTATAGCTTATAAATATATTTACTCCAGAGTTTGTGTTCTTATGTTCTCATTATACTACCTATAGATACCTTATATACCACAGTTGTTATAATAAGAGCATAACTTATATGATATAATTATAATTAATCTGAAGTTCAGATAACATATATTTGCATATAAAAGCAAAAACAACTTTGCAGGAGTTGGTTTAAATTTTGCTTCATATGTATCTTTTCTTCTAGATGTTTTTAAAATTAATTTAAAAATTAAAAGAGGGTTGTAATTATTAGACAATTGCAATCCCAAAAATCTCTCTCCCTTTCTCCCCCTTCTCCAAAACTTAAATTTATTTATAATTAACAAATAATCCAGAAGAAATTCAGCTTGTTTTGGCTAATCGATTATTACTTGGCTCTTATTATGTAAAGATTTAGAATTATATTTCTATAAGACTGTAGTTATTTAAGAGATCAGTTTTTACTTTAAGATCATTATTTCTATTTATTGTTTCTGTTTTTGAGTTATATTTTATTTTGATTATTATTTATATAACTTTATATATTTGCATATTCAATTGTTTTTATTTGTTTATTTGTTCATTTTTATTTAATTCAATGCATTACATTATTCATTTTTTTTTTTAAAATCGGTTTAAAAATTGGAACATTTAGTAAACTGTTCAATTAGAATGTGTAGAACCTGAAGCAGACCCATGAACTATGTCAAAAACATTTGTTTCTAATAAAGTATTGATGGAAGATGTAGGGAAGTTGTGAGATTGATTATTGTTGTTAGGATAAGTTCCAGCTTTGAATGATACATTGCTTAAAGTATCAATATGTTAGTTGCAAATATGCTTTAATTTATAAGATAAATTAAGTAAATAAAGTAATAAATTAAAAAAATAAAGAAAATGTAGTAAAAAGTACTTTAATGGAGAATATAATAAAAAAGTGGATTTTGTTAATTCTGTTAGAGAATAACTTTATTTTGATTTGAATATATGGTTTTTGATGATTAATAATTAATACTCAAAAATGCTTGACATAAGGCCATGCACACAGAGAGGGATTTTGAGATTTAACTACCTATCTGGGAAGAATTAAATAAAAGAAAACAATCTTACATTTATTTTATATCTGCTCATTTCTTCCATAGTCTACTATAGTGTTACTCTATATATGGGTATCTATATTTTACACATTAATAAATTATGTTATGGAAAAAGTGTCTAAAAAATATTTTTCTTAAAAATTCTGTGCAAGGGTCTAGACCCTGTACAGAATTTTTAGAAGTTTTTTATTGTTTTCTCCTCCATTAAAGCTGTATATTTTATTATATTATATACTATATTTTTATTTTTTTTAACTTACATGAAAAAGATTAATTAATAAATTTCTATAAATTTACTGTTTAAAATATATTTCATATGTGAGGATTTTTTACATCAAAATTTATCAATAAGTTTTAACTTTAATTTGAAAATATCAAATTTAACAATATTAATAACAAGCAAAAAATGTACTGCTATCTTCTAATAATAATATATTTAAACTGTTTAAATTTATTATTAAACTAAGCAGTTAAAGTGTTGTTTTATTGCAAATTTTTCAGGTAATTTGAAAATTATTTTTATAAATAATTTGCAGGGAGGATCGTTACGAATTTATAAGGTCAAAATATGTAGAACATAAATTTGCCTTAAGGACTTGTTCAGATGAATCTGATCTTAAAAGTGATTTAGAACATGCAATACTTTCAAGACATTTACATCAATTATTACAAGCATTTGCAGAAGGAGTAGATTTGACATCAGTTTTGCCAGGAAGTGTGAGTATTTGCTGCTTCATATATATACAGTCGACCCCCCCTATAGCACGGTAGATACATTCCATTCTTTATGAATCCATTTTGTACGAGTCCTTGCCAATTACATCCCAGCACGTGTGAAGTTTACAGACTACGGCTGTTTGAAAGGTTTTCTTTCATAAAATTAATCGATTCCTAGTCTAATTCAACTCAAAATTTCCAAAATTCGTATATTTTTTTGGGAATAATCCGTATAAACTATGCTATAAACAAAAAATTGTAGGATTACTTAACGAGTGTGCACTGTTTGACGTCGCCATTGCTTAAGCTTGTTTTCGCCGCAGAGCAACACACCAAATGGCGGCCGCGATTTCTGATAAGTTATTTTCTGCAAAAAATTCGCTGAACTTTGGAGACATCATTAATATAAATAATTTTTATGGCCGTTGAATAAGAAATGTTTCTTTCACAAGAAATGTATAAAATTAGTGCTGTATTAGACTTATGGTACCTAATTTACATACTGTACAGACAACATAAACTCAATTTATCAGCCTAAACTCTCCGTAGCATGGTGCTGGTCAGCAGAAAGTAGTTCAGCTGCCTGATGACGTTTTACTGAATTATAGGAGTTTTTTTTTACCATGTAGGAGTTTTTTTACCATGATTGTACGGATACCGTCGCAATTTTTTCTCCATCATATAGGAATTTGAACTATAGGAACCCATGTTATAGGGGGGTCAACTGTATATATAATATAAAATTGAAGTTTTCAAATTTTTCTTATAATTTTATACATTCTTAGTGATTTATAAAGCCACTATTTTTTCCAATTTATAACAAAAAAAGGCGTATTTTTGAGCGAAAAAAAAATACTGAATTTTTCGATGGAAAAAAATAAGAAAATTGCGGTAGAATATTTTAAGTTATAAATATATAAATATTCACTAAAATGTTGTTTACGTGGGAGTCGTCGAGTCACGTGACNCTGTATATATAATATAAAATTGAAGTTTTCAAATTTTTCTTATAATTTTATACATTGTGACAACATTAATAACCTGTCTTGTCTTATAAAAAAAAATTAATAGTGTAAAATAATAATTTTGAAATGTCATTTTAAAAGGTTTCTGAATAATTTAGATTATTATAAAATAATTTTGAATATCTGTGCACAGATTTTCTGATTGTTAGGCACTAATTATAAATACCCTTGTGATCAAAAAGTGTCAAGAATGGTTTAATAAAATGCAAGATTTGAATTTATTCATCAAAATTTATTTTGTCCCCTGCAAAATAATTTCCTTCCACTGCAGTGCACCAATGCCACCATTTTTTCTAATTCTCAAAACATGCTTTAAAGTTGTATTTTGTGAAACCCCTACAGGACTTGAGTGAATTTTATTTTATGACATTAATTGACTCAAAATTGTGACTTTGAAGAAGAAATTTTAGTTGAGAAACAGGAAAAAGTCACATGGTGTACTGTCAGGTAAATATGGGCTTTATGAAACTGTTTTTGAATTTTTTGCCAAAAAATTATGAACAACAAGAGCATTGTGAGCAGATACATTATCATGGTGCAAAATCAGTTTTCTAATCACAAATCAGTTCATTTTCTATGAATTGCTTCAAGTAAACAACACCAAACACTCAAATAATAATCTTTGTTGACAGTTTGGCCACTCAGGAGGAATTTGTGATGCAGAACACCATAACAATTGAAGAAAACAGTCAATATGACTTTGATTTTTGACTGACTTTGATGTGGTCTTTTCTGTCTCACTGTGTGTTTCAAGTGCCATTCACTTGATTGTTGCTGTCAAAAGTGGAGCTCCATGTTTTATCATTCATAATGATGCATTTTAAGAACTACTTACCTTGAGAAAGCATTTCTTCAGTTCTTCAGTTACTCAAACAGGTTGTTTTTGGAAACAATTCAATGTTTTCAGGATGACTCGAGAAGTGACGCACCACAAGCCCAAATAATGTTTTAAAATTTCTTGACAATATTCAAATGATACTGGAACATGTTCAGTAATATCCCTAAATGTTAAATGATGATGATGATTGAACTTCAAATCTCTGACTTGAAAGATGAATCACACTCAGGTAGACCACCAACTGATGTGTTGTTCATCAGTTGAAGTGGATGGTTTATCAGATGGTTTATGATTCATTTTTGAAGCGTTCTCTGCCTTTTACAAACATCTTGTACCACTTGAAAACTTGTTTTTGATACATTATCAACACTAACAGCTTTTTGCAACATTTCCAACATTTTTGTAGCAGTAATTCCATTGTGAAAATTTAATGCGTGTTTTTTGCTCAATGTTGCTCGATATTTTGAAATATTACTGGCACACAAATTTTTTTACAGGCAAAACAAGTGTTTATTTGAAAACAAAAACCAACAATGACATATGGATTGCTGCTAGATGTCAATTAAAGTTGTATCAAACGATGACTGTGCCCTCTTGCATGCACATTGTTTAAATGAACCATTCCTGATACTCTGATCACAGTAGTGTGTGAGTAGTTAGCAAGTCAAAAAAACAGCTATCAGAATAATAAATTTCAATGTTTCACATGCTACAAGTTAAGAAGAGAAATATATTTAAGCAAGATATGATGGAAATGTATAAAATATCATTAATGAATGAACAAGGAATGGAGAAATTATAAAACAAAAAACCCATGATCTTTTTTGGTGTTCACTGTTATTATTTTTATAAAAACAGTTGAAACAAGTTTTTCTTTTCTTTTTTTTATGTAAGTCAAGACTTCTTTTGGTTACTGCAGAGTCTAAGAGAAATAAAACAATTTTAGAGTAGAATAAGAAATTGTCAAAATAGTTGAATATATGTTTGGCTGTTCATCAATATTTGTTTAAAAGTATAAAATTAATTTTAGACAAAAATATTAATGTAAATACAAATGTACTTACTTAAAAATATTTTTATTTCTGCCAGAACTTGATCATGCTTTATCTATTGAAAAATTTAAACAGTATACTAAAGAATACTGAGAAGTGTCAGCAAACTTTAATAAGATTAAGATTATAAAAACTTATCCATCTTTTAGAATATTCTTTTCTTTCATCTAAATTTATCTGATTGAATTCAACAAAATTCATTGTTCATATATGATTTCTCTAAATAATGTTAAGGTTCTCACACACATACCACGGTACTTTATACTTCAAATTTAATTTATTCCAGGAGGCTGTTTAAAGGCCAAAGCAATTTATGCCATTACAGATAATGGAAAGTGAATTAATCTATTCCCAGACTCTGAATAATACTTATTTTGATAAACTTAAAACAGCAAATACACATAATTTAAGGTAAAAAAAAATAACACAATTAATTGCTCTAATAATAAAATGAAAATTGCATTTACTAGTCACACAATGTTGACATTGGCATCTTAAACATGGCTGCCAGATCTGCCATAATACGTATGTCACATTCATACTTAGCAATAAGTTCCTTTTTCATGTTAACCAATGAAATTACAACTTTCCTTCTAGGCTTTATGACTTCTACAACTTCTCAGATGCCAT